GCAGTTTCGAGAATAAGTAATTTTTTATATAAATTCTTTGCTTTTGATTTGCACTCAGCTTTTTCATTACTCTATTCAAAAATGAGTTTTAAAATACTTAAAACTTCATTATAGCCCCAATTTTAGAGCTCGAACAGATTCATGATGAGCAGACAATCTTGTCTTGCTTAGATTTTTCAATAAAAATGTAAACCTTATTTTTCTTTTAGCAGTTCCCATCGATGTGGAGATGCTGAGAAAAAGACGTAGAGCTGCTGTATAATCCCAAAAAAAATTGTATTTTCACCCATAATATAACAAGTGGTATGATTATCATCGATGATATTTTCGAATTGAAACCGAGCTGCAGATTTCACGAGTCCGCAGGACGAGTGAAATGTGCTGCTTCGGTTTCAATAAGTAAATATCTTCGATTATTAATCATACCACGAGTTATATTTAGTGAGAAAATACAATGAATTTTAGGATTTAAAAAATTGTCAGATTGACATTTAAAATTAAAATGTGCTTTAAAATATAAAAAGACTTTAATAAACCTTATTTATTCAAACTTACCTTAATTTCATTATCGTTTACACCAAACCCATCGATCTTTTAGAGTTTATAATTCATTATTTTATTGATATATATCAAACACAGAATTTAAATGACAACAAATGTTAAATCAAGAAAAGTGTCAAAATATTGCCGCTGAGATAAAATGCGTAACTATGGAATGCTGGCATTTTATTGGTTCTAATATTAATGAATTGTATTGTCGTCACTATAGATACTGCTTCCACCCCAACTAAATTTAAAGAATGGGCAGCACAGGGCACATAATAATCTTAGTATATATGGGCGTTTCTCTGTAAACTGGGCAACTTGAAGTAAGAAATTGTCTAGGCAAGTTTTTTTCTTATATTTTTGTTGTATTTAATAAATGTTATTCGAGGAATAAATATCGGTCTATTTATTAGTATAAGGCAGATGAACCAAAAATAGTCCTATTACTTTGGAAAACATTGAGCATTTTCTGAAAAATCTATACAGGGGACTGTTTATAAAATCCGGAGACAAAGTTTAGATGACTTTTTTAGAATTACAAAATAATAATTATAAAAAATAAATAAGTCACAGTAACAAGCAAACAATATTGGTTGAATAATTAAACAATTAGGTTGATTCCAATAGTTACTGTCTTTAATTAATTTAGTCTGAAGTGACCATTTTGCTTTGATGACACGTCAGGGAACTGGTTTTTAAGGACTATAAAAACGATTTTGATACATTAGAGTTTATTTAATTGGATTTTGAACGTCGAGCATAGGTAGATTAGGCTATTATCTTTTGAAGTTATCTACGAAATATTTATGATCTGTTATTTTTCTAAACAATATTAGCTTGAGACAATGAGTTGCCCAGTTTACAGAGAAACGCCCATATAATCTTATTTCTATAATCTATAATCTCTATAGAGGATACCATGTGTAAGCAAACAATTTTAAATCTAAACCTAAAAATATATTTTTAGGTTTAGATTTAAAATTGTTTGCTTATACATGGTATCCTTTAGACCGACATTCTCTTTTAGTGACTTTATCAAAATTACCCCAACCCAATAAATTTGTTTTGACGTTATATTTCAAGTACCCTTTTCAAAATTACTTATTTAGCGCATGTTGAGGATTTCCAAACCTTTCTAAGAAACTTCTAACTGTGGCTTTTTCTCCGAATTATTTCAACCGTCTTTTCGAACTTTCTTCCTATTACATCATCTAGGTACACAAAACAGTGAACACCTGTTAATCCTGTTAGTACTGAATACATTAACTCTTGCCAAGTGGAGGGTGCGTTTACCAAACGGCATTCTATTACACTCATAATGACCCCACGGTACTGAAAACTGTTTTTTTGTCTTTGGGGTGCAATTATCTCGTCTTTTAACATCGCGTTAATTTTCTCCTCCATAATTTTCTTTTTTGCTACTGGTACTTTGTAGAGTGCTTTTCTTATCAGATCATAACACTCTAACATCTCGATTTTAAGTCTCACTCCATGTGTGAACTTCAGCGGTCGATCTGACACGGTAAAAAATGTTTAAACTCTTTTACTAAAAAACACAACTCCCTACTGCTAGAAACTATAACCACGCGTTCCTTGTCCGCTTTTTCCTTATTTCTCTTTTTATTCTCGCCTAGGCTGTGACCGATCGGCAAATAGTTATTCTTCTTTTTAATATACTCCTCACAAACACACCTAATCGAAAGTGTCATTTTTTTAATTGAGGGGCTTGGTGCAAGAACCGGGTATCTCCATATTCGGAAAATTTTCAGGAGGAAAGAAAAACCTTGTTAAAAATTATTTTGCACAGTATAATTTCTGCGGTATCTCCTGTATCTGATATATTTAGTTAAAGCTAACGGGGATCTACAAGGTTTTTGCACCGAACGATGCGGACTACTGAAGGGTGTATCTTCATATGCCTAACTCAATTTAGCAAAAATATAGAGATACCCGGTTCTTGCACCCTCAATTGGGCTATTTTTATAAAATTTCTCCATTGTTATTGTTTGATTGATTTGGTAAATTAACTATTATTTGCTCAGTAAAAATTCCTAGGGCTATTTTTTTGATTGGTTCACAAATCATTGTGCCAAAGGGTATGCGCTTACTTACTCTAACACTGACATTGCAACAATGGTTTGCCGGTAAAATTAAATTTTCAATCAATATGACTACATTTGGTTGCTTGAAGCTAAAACCGTTTGTATTGGTTTTAGGATTTATCAGATCCATACCATTGTCTATTTTCTGAGATCGAACTTTCTTTATTATCCTTTGGTTGTGGTTGGATTCTTTTGGGCTATTTTTAATTAAATTTTCTATTGTTTACACTTCAGAAGAACTTTTAAGTCGATTTACATCCTGCCCTCCAAGCCGACTCCCTACACGTCTGCAGTTTTTTTCTTCTAATGAATTAATTACTATTAACAGTATCCATTTGAGGCGTGTTTAACTTCAAAAGATCTATTCCTATCTGTGTCTGTGTAAAATTTAAGGCAAATTATAAAAGTGTGGTTTATTTCCTTACGGCCTATTTTGTGTAAGTTTAAGTTTATGGTGCATTTACCTGTTTTATTTAATAATTAATTATTGTCTCCCAGAAATATTGGTGATTATATGATTGTCATCTTTTATAGGTAGGTAAATTGAGTTTAGCAACAATACCGGCTTTAATTAGACTTATGTCTAATAGACACGGCCATCTCGATTGTTGTTTATCAATTTAAAATACAACCTATTTGGAATTTTCTGGGTTTCTGGTTTTAAAATCGTTAGTGTTATCTTCTTATTGTTAACGAGGCTAAGGTCCAGTTTAAAGAGCAAATAAAACAAAATCGTATTTTATTGTTTCTACACTGATTCCTCCAATGTCCATAGGTACCGCATTTTATACACCTGTGGGTCATGTATTTAAATTTCGGTAGCGGGTCCTCATTGGTATTTTGTCTTCTCTGTGGGTTGTTGCTCGTTGGAAATTCCTTTCGTAAACAAAATCACTCCATAATCGAAATCCCGGCTTCCACTTGCAACACCACGATCGAAATTATTCCTATAGGTTATGATATATCATAACCGCGATCCCCGATCATGATGTCTACTTTTAACAATATTTTTTAAATCTAACATACGTATAAGGACATGCATTAATTAATTATGAGGCTTTTTTCTGATAATTTGGACACCTCCCTCCCCCTTCGTGAGATTTGGTTAAATGTGGTAGATCCCTCACGTGAGATTCTAGCCATTAAACTTTCATTGCCGACATGATAAACCCAAAAAAAATTGATTATTTTTTTTGACAAATTTGAATTTTAATACTTCTATTATTTGAATCCGAAAGTTGACGTGTGATTTTTCTAGACCCCTCCCCCCCTATTTTTATCTCACGTAATTAATGGATGTCCCCTAAAGGGTTTTTAATAGGGACGACGCATTTTGTTTTTGACAATTTGAAACGTCAGTCCATGGTGCCTATAGCACATATAGCACATATTTAAATATGTGGCCTATAGGCACCATGGAGTCCATCCCTGTTGAAAATGACCAGTAGAAACATATAGAATCCGTACAGTGTTTCTATATGTTTTTATAGTTTGTTATATGACACTATGGATTCAATATGTAATCAGTATTATGAACTGTATGTGTTTATATGGTTTTATATGACAGAAATTTATATGAAAATCCATCTTAAATCATATATGAATGAATATGAATTTATAGGTAATAAATTGTATATGGTCAGTTTTTTATATGCCTGTGTAGAAATGAATATGAATATGGTCTTATATGTAATGTCTGTTTCAAAAATCATATAGTATCATATTGGAACCAGCAGGGATTTTTCATATATGATTTTATATGTCATTTACAACAGGGATGGCATGGACTGACGTTTCAAATTGTCAAAAACAAAATGCGTATATATACGTATATATACAAGGAGTCCGAACTTCATATAAACCTAAGATAAGAGAGCGCTGGTGTTCCGTTTATTTTGAAACAATTGACTAATTTGTACCGAAACGCTACCAAAAGAGCAGACGTCAGTACGCATCGACAATCAGCGCCACTGATGGTGAAAAAAAGACTAATTTGTTCAATTTAGAGGGTATACCTATAGGTTTTGTAAATTTCCCCTATTAAGTTCAGGCTTCTTGTGTAGGTTTCATGAAATTTCCCCTGAAAAAGGGAACAAGGTCATCTATACAAAATATAGCAAATAAGAGGTATATGCATATTATAATATAATATATATACACATATGCACAATCCACACATGGATTGTGCACATATGTGTGGAATATTAATCTATGTGTGGAAGCAAAGTTCTTTGTGTGGAAGTATGGAAAAATTGATCTGCGACATCTATCGAGAACTAACTAACATGATATTTAAATAACAGTTTTCTGTACTACAATATTAGATGTCTATTTCTGGCAGTTATCTATGAGTTATATTGACATTTGTGTTTGTGCATTTGTGACGAAGATTCTTACATGGTTCCGATAAAAATTGATTATTTTTAAAATAGAACGAATTATAAAAAAAAAATAGTGAAAATGAGCAACCGGCATAGAGAAGGACATTCGCACAAAACCTCTGGTAATATTCCCAAACCTCTTACTAACCTAAAAATAAAATGAATTAAAATAAATTGTTTGCATGATATACCCAACCCTTATTAAAATCTTTAAATTTGTCAGTGTTTATTAGGAACAAGAGAGCGATCGCGATCCAGATCTCCCAGAAGAATAGAACAATTCAAGAAAGAAATAAAAACTGAACCTATTGAACAGTCTGGGTCGAAGGAGATTAAAAAGATTGAAAATGTTTCATTGGGTGCCAAAAATAGACTGAAGAGTATGGGGATACAAATGAAATTAAACTCAATGAAAACTACCACAGTAAACAAACCAAAATTAACAGTTGCTTCAGCTTTTAACAATGATAGTGATGATGAACCTGAAGAAATGCCACCGCAAGCTAAAATGAGGATGAGAAATATTGGAAGGTTATTTTTAATTACTCATAAGTAAATAATAACTATTAATAGTCTTAATTTTTTACAGAGACACTCCCACATCTTCAGGACCAAATTCTTTTGGAAAAACTAAACAGGGTTTTTCTGATGCCAAAAAAGTATTTGAGAAAACTTTAAAAGAAGCCATGGACAGTGCTTTGGCTGATGACTAAATAAACTTAGTTTTTATTATACAGAATTAAATTAGTATTAATGTTTTTATTCTTTTAATGCAATAAAATATTTATATTCCACATGTTTATAGATTTTATAAATTCAAAAAGTTTCACCATTATTTTTTTGTTTATAAATTTGGTCAAAAATTTATTTTTAAACAAACTTTCAGGAAAATTTTGCCTCTATGCCATGTTTGTGTTTAAAAAATAAAGTAAAACTTTATTTATGGCATGCCGTTTTAGCATTTATTGGATAATGGTTTAGCACTTTAATGATGTTTCAACATAAATTTACAAAGTAGGTACCCAAAACAATTGATAAACATTTCTTTAAATATAAAATACTTTAAGCTTAAAAATATTGATTTTTCAGTTTTAGCAAAAAATTTTAAAGTGCCAATTTTGGGATTAAAAATTTAAATAATACAAATTTAAACAAATAACTTTTATTTTTAATAGATGCTGTCTCTTTCTAGAGTGGTCAATTTTAAGCATGGTCCATAGTCGGTGAATGCAAATCGTGAAGTCTGCAGCATAGATAAAAGACTGGTCTGCAGCTTATGCAGTCAGCTAAAGCAGCGTTTACACTTTGTGAATTAAAAATTATCAACTTACATTTAAATGTAATGTGAATATGTTTGTGTTAAAATTGTATCAATTTAAATTTCTTAAAAATAAAAGTGATCGGTTTAAATTTCTCAAAAGTCATTTAAAAGTCGATAAATTTTTAATCCAAAAATTACCACTTTCAAATTTAAAACTAACATTTAATTGTAATGTGAGAATTTTTGTATTAAAAAATTTATCGACCATCATTTAAATGACTTAACAAATTTAAACCAATAATTCTGTAGAATAAAATAATAAAACTAGTTTTTAAAAAACAATATTTTAAACTTTTACATTTGCATTTTATATATAAAATATTTTAACTTTTTAAACTATTTTGGTAGAACATGTTTTATTTTTTTATTTTAAAATTCTTGACAATATTAAATTTTTTAAACACTACAAAATTTAATCTAAATTATTAAAAAATTCCCAAATAAATTATAGTTAATATATTACTATTTAGACAATTTATACAGCATTTAACATCAGATTTGCATTCTTTGGGTTTGTAATTATTTGAACACATAGGACCCACAGAACAAACCAACGATAGGACCACTATGCAGTTTTTAGCCATGGCAAATGATTATAACCAGAACATTTAAATGTACAATAGTACCCTTAGTAAATTGTATGCTACAGTTATATTGCACCTCTTCCATCCAATATAAATTTCTGTTTTTCATCAATATGTTAAATAAATTCAATGTCTTTCAATATGTACAGGGTGTCCCATTTGAAAAATGTTATTTTTTGTGCATATTTCGGAAACCCGACGTTCAATGGGTTTTCACCATTTTTATTAGAAGAAAAAATGCTACCATGTTGCAATTTGCTAATTTAACCAAATTTGTAGCCAATAATAACGGAGTTAGCAATGGTGAGCAGATAACTTAAGACATATTATAATTTATTTTATAATGTTATACCTAGGTACAAATATTTTAAAACAAAATACATTACATATTCAAAACTTTTGAATCAAAAGACAACAATAAACAAACATTAGATTTTTTTTGTTCTATTAAATAGTAAATTGTTAAAAATTTTGAGTTTTAGGAAGAGTACCTTACAAATAGCCAATGTTATTGTTAAAAACAAGTTTTAGGCCCAAGGATTAGTAATAATTTTGATATTTTCTCTTAAAACTACATAGAAAATATCATCAAAGTTGAATTTTAAATTAATAATAAAAAAAGCCAAAATCAAAACTTTAAAAATAAATTACGTCAAAAATTGTAAAAATTAAATAAAACATAATGTATAAAGTATTTTTTTTATTACTTAAAAGATACATAAAGTAACATTTACTTTCTCTGCTGTTGTTGGTTTCTGTTAGCGTCACGTCCTGGGAAGTTACGTTGTGGTGGAGTCCTGATTCTTCTGTCCTTCTTGCTCCTGTTACGAACTACTTTGCTGTGAATAGCACAGGACACACAGTAGTGAAGCTTGGCATACAATTTGGGGAGAACGTATTCTAAAAAGAAACACATTTATAACACAACCCAAAAGACGTTTAGGATAATTTGGAGCTAAAATTTAGTACTTACGAGTATATACTGAAGCTTCAGTAATATCTCTTACAGCAGCAGCTTCGACAATGTTACGGATAACGAATTTTTTGATAGCTTTATCCTTTGGGACGCAACGGGCACAATTGGTACAACGGACAGGTTTTACGTGTCCGCGTCCGTGTTTGGAACGTCCTCCATTACGCCTCTTGCAAGTCTAAAACAATAAGTAAAGTACTGTAAAGAATTTACCATGTGGTGACAGATAGAGGTTAAGATTACGACAAAATAAAAATATGTTAAATTACTAAAAAAAGGTATGAACATTATTTTAGAATGTTAAATACAGCTTCAGTTCACTAATAAAGTAAGAAAAAATAAGTAAATTGGTAAGAAAACCTATAAACTTACCATTATGTGTTGTACGATCACTACACAACGGAAATAAAGAAAGAAGGAAACTAGATTTTCGGTGACATTTGTTTGTTGTTGGCAGCACTGACGGATATACAAAATGGCGGCGATTTTAAAAACCGCGCCCTTCTACTATACTATAGTAATTATTATAGTAATTGTCACAGAAGTAGTCTACGTTGCTTATGTTCTGTGCCACGTCGCGACGTAGACTCCATAGAAAAAGAATAGACTCTACGACTTCGTAAAACTAGCGGTTGCAGACAGCTTTCGAAAGGCATGCAATTTAATTTAGAGATGTAAAAGTAACGAAAAAAGTAATACCCGCATGTATTCGTTACTTTGAATGTGACTATTCGTTATAAAGTATTCGTTACTCGTTACTTTCGTTAGTATAATACTTTAATTATTATTATACATGCCGCTGCCTAAAGAAAACATAAATTTTGATTAAATTTTATTAAATTGGATGATGTAGGTATAATAACTATAAATAAAAACTTAATAAAAAAAAATTTATTGCAAAAATAAAAACAATATAATCAACACAAAATATGTTCTTTTGTAAGAAAAATTAAGAAAAAAATTAGTAAGTTTCTAAACATAACGATAATAAATATGTACTGTCTGTCCACTTTAAGTTGGCGGAACTAAGGAATGTTGTAGTTTAGATATTAAAGAATTGTCGTACTGTGTGCTTTTAAAACAGATTTTATATTATAAATAATACTACTTAGTACATATATATTATATACTTAAGTACTAATGTACTAATTAGTACATATATATTATATACTAGTATTATTTATAATATAAAATCTGTTTTAAAATCACACAGTACGACAATTCTTTAATATCTAAACAACAAAATTCCTTAGTTCAGCCAACTTAGAGTGGACAGACAGTATGTACCTATATAAAATATATTGCACATTTATTTGAAAAAAAATCTTTGATTTATTTGGAGAAACAAATTTTTTTCCATTCTTTTTGGTTTAAGTAAGGAACGTCTGTAGAACAATTACAATACAATATTTTTTTTACACATTAAATAGGTACTATGCTCCACTATAAAGATTTATTATTTTTTAACACATAAGCGGTAAACGTATAAATATGATTTATTTCATTGACTGTACTTTGACATATACATAAGATAACATAAGATTTAAATTTATACTTTACAGTAACATAAAGAACAAAACATAAATACGCCTACCTTGTGAGGAAAAGTAAAGAAACTAAAAACCCATATAAAAACCTTTCTTTTTGCAAAGAACTCTTTAAAATAAACAATACCTAAATCAACGCGCGGCATAGATCACCTAGTCTATGGATCAGCTGATATATTCTATGGATATATTTGTGTATCATGCACAGCGTACGCACAGTGCTGTGAGCGTACGCAGTGTTGCCAGATTTCTTTTCAGCCTGGCGCATGGCCGTACGTATCGTATCGAATCGAACGAACGCTGCAGAGTACGTAGATACCGGACGAAATTGTGAGTGGCGCAAGTAACGAAACGATGCGAGTAACGAGACGTAATTTAAAGTAACGAATCGGTATTTCGAACCTCATCCAGTACCCGTTACTTTGTACCGAATACATACGGTTCGTCACATCTCTAATTTAATTTAGTATACCCAAATATGCGTGTATACTGGGTTGCGTGCTGCAACCGTGTCAATAATAATAATAATAATAAATTGCCTTCCTTCGTTCCTTCCGTAAAAGATGAACAATAAAATAAATTGTTGTGCTGTTTATAAAATCCTGTACGGGAATCTTTAAACGTCACTGCGATTTTCGTATTGTTCATCTTTTACGGGAGGAATGCAATCTATAAATCAGGCTTAAGAACCTTACATCTCCAAATGTTTGAATTTTGACAAAATAGTAACTGTTAGATTTGTTTATTAGGTTTTTTTTAGGTTTAAAAGTACAGACAAGCTGTGGTGTATGAGTTTAGACGTCCATTAAACAAAAAATATTTTTTTTACCACGTGCATGATTTATTATACACAAAAAATAAACTTGGACTTGAAATGTTTTTAATCTCAATAAAATTCTGAGACAGAATTTTTATAAAAATCTTTATAATTTTTTTTTAGAATTGAAATAAATAAAACACAATGTGGTAAAGCATTTTTATTGAAAAAAAGCATTTTTTTAACAAAAATATTAAATAATCAGTTTTGGCATCATCGTCCGTATTAGTGGTTGACCAGGATGTTACGTGGTGGTAAAACTCTAGGTCTTCTCCCTTGATGTACTTCATTATATTTTTTATATCATTTATTGTCTTTTCATTACATGCATGTACACCATGGTGGTCTTTTTTCTTCCACAACTTTCTCAGATGTGTCATGTTCGCTACATACTATATTAAAGTCTGATATCAGATGATGACATAGTTGTATTTTACACTCAAACAGCATGAAATACCAACTGACATCACAATCCACAATTATGTGAATTGTGAAGAGCAGTACAAGTCCTGGACTTGTACTGTTCTTATTCTTAATGCTCCACAGTCAGCACTGACAAACACCTTAACAAGATGCAGCTGGTTTTAAAAATGTTCTTCTACTCTTCGATGCCGCTTCGAATTTAAAACAAAATGGCTATTTCAGATAAAAATGTCAAATTTTGGACTTGTACTGTTCTTATTCTTACCGATTTAATTATAAGCCAAATAGTGTAAAAATTCAAAAATGACAATGATTTTTTCTTACTACCTCGGCCGAAAATACGTTGTTTCGTCCCCGATTCCACGGCAGAAAGTTTACGTTTGATGCATTGGTCAAATTTACGTTTGATGCATTGGAATCGGGGACGAAGCAACGTATTTTCGGCCGAGGTAGTAAGAAATAGTATATTACACTACAAGGGCTACGAAGGCTTCGCTCGTGCCGCAAATGTCGGGGCAGGCATCAATATGTTTCGATATACACATTTAATTTTTTCCCTTATTTTCGGCCGGGTAGCAAGAAAAATAGTATACACTACACGGGCAGAAAGTGTGAGAGCCCTGAACTGCGCTTCATGATGCCCTCGGCTTCGCCTCGGGCATCATTGCGCGCAGTGCAGGAATCTCACACTTTCTGCCCTTGTAGTGTAATATACTATTATATTGTGATTTACGGTTTTTTTATTTACAAGGCTGCAAAAATTAACCAAAAGGTTTTTACACCACAAAATACTTATAACGAAAAAAACATAGATAAAACTTTAAAAGAAAAACAAATACCAATTTAAATAAACAGTATATATATAATTTTGTTAAGGAATTTTATTGTTGTATTTGGAAATAGTAGAAAATAGCCTCAATTTGGTTGCATCATGTGAACACTATAGAGGCGACCCCTTAGGGGTTTTCTATGGAGGCTACAAAGTCGCTGCAACCATGGTCGCCGCGACGTCGCGAAAAATAAAAATACCTTAACAAAATTACTGTTTATTTAAATTGGTTTTTGTTTTTCTTTTAAAGTTTTATCTATGGTTTTTTCGTTATGTATAAGTATTTTGTGGTGTAAAAACCCCAAGAGCCTTTTGGTTCATTTTTACAGCCTTGTAAATAAAAAAACATTAAATCACAATATAAAAATCATGGTACCATGGTAACCCAGCCGCAACAAAGTCGCCGCGAGAAGTTGCACCGTTATACATGGACTAGGTTTAGGTGGTTTAATTTAAAAATTAGGTTAAGTAATTCCTCTTAAAAATTAAAATTTAGGTAAAATAAAATCAGGCTTGATTGAATTAATTTGCTTTAAAACGATATTTTTTCCATTGGACCTAAAGTTAGGGTAGGCAAATAGGTAATAATACTAAAATCCCATCTCCACTTATAACAGATCGGTTTTAATTAGTCAAAATATATCTATAAATATATTTATATCTGCTTGGAAAATTAAAATAAATTAAAATGTGATAAAATTATATGTACAATCTACTTTATTCTTTTAAATTTACAAAAATATGTGGGTCCAAAATTATTTGCTAAATTTGGCAAAACCAAACTACCATATTTTAATAACTGTTTGTCTGCAAATTTGTAGATATGCCTTCCCTGCATTAAAGCAGGTGATAAGTCCCTAAAGTTAAATTATTTAATAAAAATAATAACGTAAAACATAAAACTTACTTAATAACTATTTTTATTTTTGTTTCCTCCCATATTTGTTTCAAAGCCATGTGTACCACCCCATCATTCTGAATGGGGCTTAAAGAACATGTAGAATATACAACAACCCCTCCTTTTTTAATTAATTTTAAAGCATTCACTAGTAATTCACATTGTAATTCAGGCAATTTTAATCTTTCTTTTATTCTTTGTGGTTTAAATATGTTATTTTCGTTTTCGCGAAGAGAATGCCTATCTGTGGTGCAAGGAACATCAACCTAAAGTATAAAATATTAAAAATAATTTATAATTTTCATTTTTTTCTTTATTTGGACAAAGGGCATAGCCAGGATTTTGTTCTGGGGGGCAGATCATTTTCTTGTACTTTTTTTCTGTGTAATATCCGCTTGGTCTGAGATTACACAGAAAAAAAGTAACCAATGCCCAGCTTAAGGGTGTCGATAATGGGGGTAATTCCCTCCAAAGATAGACATCCTAAGAAAAAAATTGCTACAAATATAATTTATGAATGCAAGTCACACTAGATGATGGTAAGGTAGATAGTGAATTTAATTCGCAAAATCGCAATGATTTCGCATCTTGTGCGCATCATCTAGAGTGAACGTCCGCTCCCAGCATCCTTAGATTAATATCGCAAATATCGCATGTGCGCATCTCTGATGTACTACATTTGAATTTTATATTTAAAAAGATTACCTAGGTACTTAAAAAAGAATATATGTTTATGAAATGTTTAGTTTTGGTACCTTATAATCAACTAAAATATTAAAACATTATTATTTTTGCCCAAAACTAAATTTTGGAAAGTGTGTAATGCCAAAAACCGTTACAAAGGTCTTTTCTTTCCAGAGCTTTAAATAAAATAAATAAAACAAAAATGCAAAAATGATTAGACTCCTAAACATTAAGTGGAATTTTACATAAAAAGAAAAAGATTAATTTTAAACTGCTGCTTTAACTTTCCGGTTACTACAGATATTATTAAATCGCACAAATTATAGTATGTACCAATAAAATTTGTTTTTTTTAAAGAACAAGTCTTTAATAAAATGTGGTTTAAAGCATTGTATTTAGTTTAATTTAATTATTATATGCAAATATGCAAAAAATACAAAATCTGGTGATTATTTATTAAATCTGGCAACTTTTAAAGCAAGTGTCTGGTGATTTTAAGTTTTTTGACCTGACAACATTGCTTATAATCCTTTTCCCCAATATACAAAAGCAAATAAACAATAAGGAACTTTGCAAAATAATTTTCCTTATATGTTACGCCCCCAAAAGAAAAAAATATCGACGCCCTTGGCCCAGCTGCCCCCCATAGCTATACCCATGATTTGGACTTTGACTTATTTGACAATATTGGTAGTTCTTTAGTATTTTTAAAATAATATATATACTAACTTTGTTAAATTTGCATTTTCCAATTCAACTTTAGTACCTACCTATTGTTCAAAGTTCATAATAAATAAATGCATAATTTATAAAAACAATTCTTACTAATATCCTATCAAAGGTATCATCAGTTATATATCTGCCATCCATATTTGTAAGTTTAACCCTAGTATTATTCCATTTCTCTTTAAAATCATACAAAAACTGCTTGTAAACACCCTGTATCCTATTTACTCTAGACATAGAAACATCATTTGAAACAACTAAATCTGTATACAAAGTTTGTAAGGCTAAAAGACTTTTACCACCTGGGGAAGCACACATATCCAATACCCTATTCCCTGGTTTAATATCCAAAGCTAAAACGGGCAAAATTGACCCTCCATCCATTAAATAATAGTTTAAAACCCCTGTCTCCCCATTTAAAGCAGGAGCAAAATTTGTGTCTTCAGTCATGTAACAATAAACATTAAGATTTTCTGGGAAATGTATGTCAAATTCTTTTTCAACAGTAACAGAGAATTCAGACGAGGTATCATAGAGTTTATAATGTGCTGATTCTGGTATGAAATCGTCTTTTCCCTTTATTTTTGATGTTGGAACATACTCATGCAAAATTTCAGCTGATAGAGCATTTTTAGAGTCTACTAAACGTCTTTTATCATAGTCTGCAGTCTCTAAGCTAGTTTTAAGTGAAAAGTTCTTAGCAGAAAATAGTTCTACATTTTTAATCTCCTCTTTAGTTTCCAACTGTTTATCCATTTCTTTATCAAGCCTAAATATCTTATTCAACACACTGTTTCTTTTACTAACTGCCAATTCTTCTTGTAAACGCTCCTTCTCAATTTGGAATACCTTTCGAACATTTATTGCACCTTCTAATTCAAATTTTTTCATTGTTTCATCAGAGTCTGAAAGATTGTTTACGACAGCCACATATTTTTGTTTGCCTAATAAACCTTCACGTATATCAGACCACTTTTTTTTACCGAACACTTGCCTGTAAAAATCATCAAAATGTTCCATTGCTTTATCCACAGGGTGAATTTTTTTTCGTACAACAGACTAAAAATATTTTTTGAAAAATAATGATTAAAATATTTTAAAATACTAACCCAGTGGTCCGGTGCATGTTTGCATCTTATAATTTGCTTACTTTGTTTGCTAAAATGTTTAAAAATGCTGTAGGAGAGCATTTTTTATATATATAACCTTACTAAATAGAAACCATAACCTTACTTTGTCATTCAAATGAAATGTCAAAATATCGATTGCCCATTGGCTGAATATTGCGGTAAACTTAAATTTAAAAGTGGACATTTATTAAAAACAGATATTTTATGAATTTTAATACTTTACGTTAACGTAAAAGTTTAAAACGTTTTTTAAATCATTTTATATAATTTTCTATGATTTTAAAGTAAATATTGCATTTCATTAAATTAGTCATACCCAAAAAGCTTGAACATACGTTCTTTGTGCTTTCTCTGTCACACCACTTGACCTACTTCTACTTTAATAACGTGGGTTTGTCTGTGCTAGTTCGTTAATTCCCAGGGACTGAATTGAAATGTTATTGATTGTTGTAATGTTTGAAAATATGTTCTAATTGTTGTATCAATTTTCTGGACGTTGATTTGTTTACCTGGTAACGCTTACCACCCTCTATGCATAGCATGAACTCACTTACACGTTAACTACCATTTCATTGAATGTTAAAACATAAAATTTAATGTGGATCTTTCATTGAGAGTATAGGGTTTATAAAAACGGTCAGCATGGATGCAAATCTGCTAAAATGGATAGGGGAAACGATGTTTTGGTTAAGGGGCCAAGTTTGGACTCTGTAAGGGCGTTACATCAGACTGTGGTAGCATTACGGGAAGCTCTTGAACAAAGTAAAAATGAAATTTTGGAACTGAAGAGTAAAGCTTGGCCAACTAATGCAGTGGAGGAGACTTTGAGGGCTCTCTCGTTGGAAAATCACGTCTTAAGACGAAAATTATTGGAGAAAAATGTAAGAAATAATGAAATTAATGAAAGTGAACAAAATCAACAAATTCAGGTTAGTAATGTAGAACACAATTATTTTACTTATTAGGTAACAATAATAGTTTTTTATAATTTTTGTGGTATGGGGCTGTTCATAGAAAAACTCTATGGGGCTGTCCATAAATTCTGTGATGCTGGAGTTGGGAGGGGGGGTTGAAGGACCATCAGGATTTTTCGGCCTGAGGGGGAAGGGTTTATTTATTAAACTTTATTAAAACGTCATGTGACAAACTAAATCAAATGAAGTTGCTTATTTGTTCCATTTTCAGTAAGATTATTCCAAAAAGGATTTAAGAAAATATGTTTAAGGGGTAGGGAAGTTTGATATTTTGTCACATCGTCACATTCTGTCACAAGTAGGGTTGCCAGATTCTGTCAAAAAATAAAGGACATTTTGTGACAATTTACCTTAATTACAAAAATGACACATCAACAATACTCACAAGGGACGGGAGGGGTCAATTTTGACCATTTTTGGCGTCACTAGATTTATGGATGGTCTCTGGATTACAGATCTGTTTCCTGGATTGAGTTAAGTACTTACAAAGTAGGAAAAATCACTAGAGTCTGTCCGGAGAATGTTTTACCTTGCGTCATCAATTTTCATCCATTTAAATTGCGAATATTATAATATTCGCTATAGCAAGGTAAAACATATGTTTAACCACCCAAGGTAAAACATGTTTACCACGCAAGGTAAAACATATGTTTTACCTTGCGAATATTCGCCGGACCAAAACAGGTTTTTGACATTTTAAATTGATGAAAACTGATGACGAAAGGTAAAACATTCGCCGAACAGACTCTATATCTTATAAGAATATACATTTTTCTGAGATATAAAAATAAAAAGTTTAAATGAAAAAAATCATAAAACAGATATTTAAAAAGGTTTTTGTGTTTTAGAGGTTTAAAAACTAGCAGGAAAAATCAAGGAGAATTTGTAAAGATTTAAATCAAACCATTTTTTTTTTACTTTTTTGTAACTTAATCCAGGAACTGTATATTTTTAAAAATCATAAAAAAACTAATCTACTATGTATTAAACATGTAGATGGGTCATTCCACGTTACTCGGGAATTTTTGTCCCGCCCGTCACATTTAAAAATTGTGAGTAAAAACTACACGTTATAAAATTTATTTAAAAATATTGTTTTATTATGCTTTTAATAAGTTATAAGCACAATAAAAATAATATTACAAAATATTAATTTTATAACTTGCGGTTTTTACTCAAAATTTTTAATTGTGACGGGCGGGACAAAAATTACCGAGTAACGTGGAATGTCCCAGATGCTTTTTATTTTTTTCAGAAAATTATGCAATATTTAATATGCTGGGTTTCAAATAGGATAATTCCGAAGGTCGTTCTTAATCAAATCAAACAAAAAAATAAAAAAAGTTTACCTTGTCTTGAATTTTTCTCAAATGTTGTGTATATGATTTATGGGGTGGAATCAGCATTGCAAACCGGAACATTTAAACAAAACATTTTTGAGCCATTCCACGCGTAACGGATAGGACAGTTGCCGTATTTTTATTTACAAAATAATATTGTTCTATTATATTACCAATGTCAAATTTTTATAAATAGTTCTAAACAAAAGCTGTTTAACAAGGTTTTTATTTGGCAAAATTAGGTATCGTGGTTGACTGTTTAATTCCTTAAAAACTAATAATTTAAAGCGTAACGGACGGGACTTTGTAATGGTCCCGTCCGTTACGCTTTAAATTATTAATTTTTAAGGAATTAAACAGTCAATCACGATACCTAATTTTGCCAAATAAAAACCTTGTTAAACAGCTTTTGTTTAGAACTATTTATAAAAATTTGACATTGGTAATATAATAGAACAATATTATTTTGTAAATAAAAACACGGCAACTGTCCTATCCGTTAAGCGTGGAATGACCCTTTTGCTAACCTTAGGAAAGCGTTTTTTTAACATACAATTCCTACCAGGGAAGTTATCCCTAAAAACAAGTTTTTAAAGTGAACATTTCTTTTTGTTCTGTACAATGAACAGGTAAGGAATTAGAAAAAAAACGATGCATCTTGCAGAAAATTTAACTATTGCATCTATTAATTTTTCGGTTATTAATTATGGTAGAAAAATTTATATTTGTGGTTATCCTAGCCTATAAATCATCTACACAAAATTTGAGAAAAATCTGTTCGATCTGACGTGAAATGACCCATTAAAGTTTACTTTACTTTTAAAATTTGCATTTGAAAAGATATAAAAAACCTGCATGCTTTAAATAAAACATAAAAAGAGCATGCATTTAGCATCTGCAAAATTATAAAAATAGACCTGTTTTTTCATGGAATACTTGTTTTGCCATGCAATCTAGGTTTTTTATTTTTTTTTATCTTTAAATCAAAGTTCATCACAGTTTAGTACTTTTTATTTGTTTTTTTTATATTAGTAAAAATATTATTATAACGAAGCAAAATAATTATTATATTACTTAAGTAATAATTTCTTTTTCAGAAACACGTTTTGTCATGCAAGCTAGGTTTTTAATTTTTTTATCTCCTTAGTTTAATGATTTTTTATTTGTTTTTTATTTATGTTAATAAAAATATTTGAATGGTGCAAAATAAATAATAATTTCTATTTTTTGTTTCATTAGTCAAGTCAAGAAATTAAAGTAAAAAGTGTAAAAAGAGAACTCATTCTAGATAGTGTTCCAGAAAGTAGTAAGGAATTGAGTAAAAGTGTTGATCATTTTCCATCTTCAAAAGAATTATCTGATAATATTACCAAGAAAGTAAAGCATAAGAGGGTTACAATAATATCACCAAAAAGAAGCCCAAATCGTCAAATTGAAGCCAAAGTTTTAATTAGGACAGAAAGTAAAAGTCCTACTAAACTATCAAGATCCCTTGAAAGTCTAACAATCCTAAAGTCACCAAGAAATAACTCAGGTAAACTAGAATTCTCCAAAACTGTTAGTTTCTCAAATATCTCAAAAGTAACAAGGGAGTTGACTTTTTTCAACCACAAAATGGATAACAATATCCAAAAAAGTAATAATAAGGAATTTCCTAATGACCTTCAAAGCCCCAATGATGATAATGATGAAGTTGATGATATAGAATTAATATTTACCACAGAGGACACTAAAGACTCAGATTTTAAAGGGCAGTTAGTATCTATAGATGCAGGCGATTCAAATGTTGAACAAGCAAACCTATTAAAATGTCCTTTAAGTGAGCTAGATTTGGATATGTCTGATAGAGAGTTGGAGGATGATGTTTTTAATGATAACTTTGAAAATGAAAACCAAGAAAATGCGAACTTTCAATCCTTTGAGATAAGAAGAGATACTTCACAACTATACAATTCTAAATCGGATAACTCTATTAATCATGAAGAAAAAAGTTATTATTCTTATCAAGACAGCAGTTTCGAGAATAAATCTTTGGAGAAAGATGAAAGTTTTGATAGGTTTGAGGAAAAAATTAGGATTGTTGAAACTGATATGTCCAAAGTTGGCATTCAGGATATTGAATATGCTGGTACAAGAAGAAATACATGTCCAAATCCTATACAGTATAGACCCTTAATGCATAGGTAAAACATAAATTATGATAAAAATTCTTTGATATATTTAATTTATTTTAGGGAGGCTCTAGCAAAAGGCAGAAAAAGTAGACCCATTTTAAGTCATTCCAATGCATCTAGAAGAGAGTCTGGCGCCCAAACTGATATTTCAGCTTTGCCTGGATCTTCATGGAGGTCTGAAAGTAGTTTAGCTAATAAAGTAAGTTTTCAAAAATGTTTTTGGGATTTTTAAAAATTCATTTTGACTGTTAAATTGTCAGGATTTTCCGTATCTACGATGTACCCACAAAAAACTTTTTCTAGTGACATTTTTTGTATCTAGGCACGTATAGGGGAAAACTTCACTACCCTGCCATCGAAATTCCCACTGCCTGGCTCGCGCTTGCGACTATCGGAAAAAACAGTTGAAGCACGTCGAGTTTTATTGTCGGACATCGGGTTTACGAGCATGGTGCCTGAACTTAGCCGATCCGCTGACCATTTGTGTCCGGAGAACAAAAAACCACCACCCACCAATCCGACTTACGGACAATTTTTAAGAGCCACCGATCTCTATTTTCCAGCATATACTGTAAGCATACTGAAATTTATTATAATTATTAGTTTGTTTTGTGTATTTTTGCTTGAAAACGAATAAAAACGTCGGTTTTAATATTAAAATACAACGATGGTTTGTTCTTCATGTAAATGTTATATAAGTGACAAGAAAGAGAAAAACACAAAATTTGCTTATTACGGTAATAAACCTATTTATTTTATTAAGCTTGGTTCACAGTTTCCAACGATCTCATTACGCGTCCCTCCTCTTTCATTGTCTAAGGAAATAACACAAATGTTACAATCTATTTACTTAATATTTATGTTATATATATTTTTTATGAGTTCGATTTTGTCTTTCGTGTGTATCGCTCGATGAAAAAGTGTGAAAAATAGCTGACTTTAACCCAGGAGAGACAAAATTGAATTCCGGGAATAGAAATATTCCTGTATCTTTGGATAATATCGCAAGCTTTGACCTTTTAGCGAAGTATTTTGTGATTTGTACACGAGAAATAGTGGATGATTCCAGATTGGAAAATTCACATGTCTGTGGGTAGATTGCTTCGTGAAGCGCATGGACGGTAAAACTTGTTTCTGGTCAAAGTGGTACATTGAAACCGAGACCATTAAGGCTTTTTGCCACCAAGAAAGAAGAAGAAGATATTTTTTATTTATGTAACATATTATCTTACTGAAATTAAAAATTACTTAGCCCGAACTTGGTATTTTATAATTTATAGGAAATTTTACTACTGTCATGGTATTTATTAAAGAGGTGCTATAAAATATTCAATACAAGTGGGCACTACATTTATACAGGGTGTTTCACATTACTGGTGCATTAGAAGTTTCTGGGGAACGGAAAAATATATCGATTTAAAATTTTAAAAGCGTTTAAAATGGTATAAAATATGTACATATAATTTGGATTTTTTAAATGAAATTTGAAATGTGTCGATAAACTTTGGTAAATAATAAATTGCACCAATTAAATTTATATTATATTTACTGAAGGCGGTCCGGCCGAGAAAAAAGTTATCTTTTTTTCGCAAACTTCAATTTAAATTCTGCTTGCGCAGAACTTGTTTATTTAATGTCATCATCTGTGGGTAAAAGGCATATGGGTATAAGTCAAAAAAAGCAATTTTTTTTAGAGCCTTTAATGTGTTCGCATTAATTCAGGAAATATATGTATGTTTAGCGGGTATACGCTTTTGTTACCATATGACATGGGCTAACAAAAGGGTATATCCGCTAACCATAAATATGTTTCCTGAATTAATGCGAATACGTTTAAGGCTCTACTGAAAAATTGCTTTTTTTTACTGGTTAGATAAAAAAATCAAGGAATCCAACGATGTATCAAAATACAAAAGTTATGGCGGCCATTATAGAAACAAAAGATTGTGATGGTAGCGAAGAAATTGGTAAACATGTTGATTAATGTACATGCAAAAAAGTAAACATGTTTACATGTAAAACTTTTTTCAACATTTCTAGGTAGTTATTTATAATGATTTTGATTTTTTAAGATTTTTAGTTTTTTTCAAATATTTTGAGAACCGCTGGCTTTTTTCCAATTTATTATTTATTTATTAATAGGCTTGTTATGACGCAACCTTTCTCTAATTTAACCTTCAATTAAAACATACCCATGAAAGTATTTTTTTGCAATATAATATTTCCAGTCTCAAAAGTTCACCTGGATGGGGGGCACCACAGCAACAGCCACTCCCTCCGACTGCAGCCAATCGCATTCGCGCTACAGCAGCATCTACCCGCTGTCGCCGCCAGCGCCCTCTAGACGTTGTTCGGCACCCGTGTCGCCATCTAGGCGCGTTTTGTTGAAGCACACGCCGTCTAAAGTTAAGTTTGCCAACGGGTCGATGCCGGAGTTGCGGAGCGACTGGACCACGGTGGATTCCGGGGATTCCACGGACAGTTTGGTCGAAGAGGCCGAGAATTATTTAAGGAGGTCTATTGATTGTATTATGACTGGGAGGGATGTGCCTAGTTATAGGTGAGTGTGTTCAAAATGGTTTTTTAATGGGATTGGGACAGGCAATTTTTCTATTGCATATTTGGAATCTACGCATAGGAGTTATTCATTTATTTTTTTTACGTTTCTCAAACAATTTTTGAGAACGCTACAGCATTTTAAAAACTGTAACATTCAAAACGCTTCGATGTCCCTGGACACTCTTAGTGTAACATGCGTATCAAGACTTACGAAAGAAGTATATGAAAAACAAAAATACAATCATTAACAATTTCGTTGACAGTTTAAACCTTGTTATAAAACCATTAATAAAAATAATAAAACTTTATTAGCTTTCAAAAAGATAATTACAAAGCACGTCAATGTAAGTAAATGTAAATGTTAATGTAAATAAAAAATGTGCGAAATATACAGTGACATAGTATAATCTAACATATATTAAGGTAGATAAATGTAAATATAAAAATAAAATGTAATATGCACAGTGACAAAATAAAATCTAACATATATACACTGCGCGTCAAAATTAACGCATAATAACTAAAAAAATTCTAACTCTAAAACGCCTTTATCAATCTTTATAAAATTTTCGATAAAAATACTTTTATCTCACTTATATCTCAGTTTAAGTATTCAAGGGTTTTTCGAAAAAATATCCTTAAAGCCCTTTTATTTAATAATAAAAAAATCTTGAAAAAAAACTTATGGGGATTTTTTTTAAGTAAATAAAAAAAATGCTGTGAAATACCGTATTTTTGTAAGTATACCCTGAAAATTTTGTACAAATCAAACGAACAGTAACAACAATACAGCGTTTCAAAGTCGTCAAAATGACCACTTTTCAGGAAAATAATCAAAAAGGGGTCATTTTTACCGACTTTGAAGCGCTGTATCTTCGTTACTGTTCGTTTGATTTGTACAAAATTTTCAGGGTATACTAACAAAAATTCGGTCTTTAAAAGCATACTTTTTATTTACTTAAAAAAAAATTCCCTAAAAGTTATTTTTTGAACATTAAATAAAAGGGCTTTAAAAATATTTTCTCGAAAAACCCTCGAACACGAAAACTGATATAGATATAAGTTGAAGTAATCTTAAAATTTTATAAAGATTGGTAAAGGCGTTTTAGAGTTAAATGTTTTTTACTTATTATACGTTAATTTTGACGCGCAGTGTATAATAAGACAATTTCTAAAAAGGCATTAAAATATTCAATAAAATCATAGATTATATTTTCTAATAAAACAACTTTTAAAATATTGTTTACTTATATCCATGGGTAACCTATTGAAAAACTTAATACCCCAATGGTTAAAATAATTTTGGGTCCTAGCAATTCTATTTTAAGCCTATTAACAGACTATTTTAGTATAAAGTACTAAAAATTATGTTTTAAAATTAAAATTTGCGACTATGCTTTACCGCAATTAGCAACATAATTCATTCATAACTTTAAATACTTCATTCATCACGGTGTTCTGAGAGGTGATTTTTGGACTTTCTGTGAAACCTAATTTTTTTTATATTCTTGTTAATAAGGTCATAACTAAAAATTTAAGAGCAAAATAAAAAAATATTTGACGATTTGAATTATTTTAATTGGCTGTTTATTAAAAATATTATGCACTCTTTCAATTATCCAATTAAAACTAGCGATTTAATTTAAATATTTAATATGTGCATAACTAAAAAAAGGTTTTTACAATTTTTTTATATATTTTACTGTTTTGCAATAAACGTTCAAACTTTTAATCTAACCTTTGACGTATACATGTTCCCTTAATTAATATATCCTTAAAGGTTGTCATGAAACTTAATAAAAATGTATTTGACGTTTGAATTGTCATTTTCAATATAAGTATTCTATAATTTTTGTTTAGTTTTTTAAAGTGTTTTTTATAAACTAAAATGAAAAATTGTAGTAAAAGTTACGAAGAGATTCATGAAATTTAACTAAGGACCGGTTTATTCATCTTTAGTAAAGTTTATCGGGTCGATAACTTTCATGTCTTGGCAATATCTAGTATCCAAAGAAATTATTCGTCAAATAAATCAAAAATGAATAAATCGGCCCTAAATAAAATGTGGCCCCCTTAGAATTATTGTTTAATAAATGTATACTATACATTTAACCTTAAATTAAAACTTTAAACGTGTATTACAACAAAACAGTAAAAGATATAAAAATTGTATAGACCTTTTTTTAGGAAATTAACTAATCTTTAATCTGATTTAAAAAGTTATGATAATATTTAAATAAAATCGCAAGTTTTAATTGGAGAATTGAAAGTGTGCATACATATTTTTAATAAACATCCAATTAAAACAAAATTTTTTGTATTTTGCTCTTAAAATTTTAGTTATGACCTAATTAACAAGAATATAAAAAAAAATTAGGTTTCACAGAAAGTCCAAAAATCACCTCTCAGAACAGCACCGTGTCATGAGTTGTGTCCCGACTGTTCATTCATACTTCATTTGTAAGTTGTATTAACAGTGACGTAACGCTACCATAAGAAAATTTCATTCATTTTTAACAAAAAATGTATTGCAAAAATCGATTTGTTTTTAGTAACTACAGAATCTAAACTTTAGATTATATAATAAAAGTGGTTTCACACTGATTTACAACATAACGTCCCAACCCCATTAGATAATTATTTGGTATTTTTTTTATTATCTGAGGATGTTTAAGTCTTTTTTTTTTACCTAAAATTAATGTTTTAACTTAATTATTGCAGCGAACCCCGCAAGGGCATACATCGCCGGGCCTCGGCCCCAGAGCCATCTGGCGACAACGTGCCCCCTCAAGGTTGGCAACCATTCTTACCGCGACAACCACGCGACCTGAAACCCGAGCACTGGGTTAAAGTAATAATTCAGGAGGGTCGAGTCAGAGGAGGCCGGGTAAGGTACGTGGGACCGGTGGTCACACAGACCGAGCAGTTGGTGGGTGTCCAATTAAGCACCCCTGAAGGCTACTGCGATGGTACATTTAGTACCAGAAGATATTTTCAATGGTAAGTAACAAGATAATAGAGGATATTAATTGTTGGTAAAATAAATAATATTTATTTATTAAATATAATTTGTAAAATATAACCTATAGCGCCGTCGGCCGATGATGAAAGTGCGTAAAGAAGCACCCGAATCGTGCAAACCTCCTCTATTGTACATCATAATTTTGCACACATTTTGCACAATTTTGCACACTCCTTAAATTTTGCACACACCCGCTTTGGAAATGGCAAGAAAAATCATGTGGGGGCGGCAAACATGACACTTCCCCCCCGACAAACTCTACTTTTTGTCATCATAATCTCCTAGTTTTGCAAAATTTTGCACACCCTTACTTTATTCCTCACGGTGTCCCAAAAATGTCTTCCCAGCCCCCCCAATGAAAATTCACTTTTTTTTGCTATCCTGATCCTCTAACTTTGCAGAATTTTGCTCACGTCATGACGCGTCATTTCAAATTTTGCGCACCCCTCCAGCTATCCCCATGGCATCCCAAAAAATTACTTACTAGCCCCCCCCCCACTGACAAAATCCACTTGGTATGCATTCTGTATTAATTGTAAGGAAAAAGTACACAGAAATCCATTATGTAGTACGAAAACTGACGGACAAATCTTATGTGTAAGATGTTCGAAACTGGAACAAGCTTCAGTCGAAAACTGGCGAGGTCTAACTAATCCCAAACATCCTAGAACTTCTTATCTGGAACGTCACTCCGGGCTTTTATACTTCATGGACTATTCTCTGTATAATATTTAAATTAAATGTGGAAACAGAGATAGGAAATCTCACACCGCAGCTAGATTTTAATGCATGCGTTGCTGAAGAAACTCTGTTTTAAATGTGGATTAATAAAAAATATCATCTACAAATCTACTTTCTAAGTTGTTAAAGAATTCGCGCAGGATCTTCCACAAAAAATTGCGGATATTATTCAATCCAGACAATGTAGTACAGTTGTATTCATTAAAAAAGCGTACAAGAATTAGAATGAGAGAAAACTGTCAACATTATTGCGTAAAACCGGCTTTCCACTGACTTAAGTCACTATAACTGACAGTAGAAAATAAAAATGCCTCGTCATGACGCAGTTAAAAAGGCTCAAATAGTATCAAGAATCGAAGAAGAATGGTCAATTCGTACTGTGGTCGTCCCAAAATGTCCACCCCTGAACAGGATGCTGCTTTTTTGAGATATTTGAGGATTTATGGGAAACTATACTGCCGTCCTAAGCGCAGAAGCGGTAACTGCACATTTAAAGGAAATTGACATTTTTCCGTAATATGAACCTAGGGTTAAAAATCTCTACTTTAATAAGGTATTAAATCGGTATTTTGTCAGTAAATGATTGAAATATCAAGTTATTTTTAGCGGTGTCTGTTACCAAACTGAGTTGGCAGAGCTATTAACATAAAAGTACCAATATCTCATGACAGCCATTATGTTAATTACCGCTTCTGCGCTTAGTACGGCAGTATAGTATATATACAACTATACTATACCTACTATACAGCTGGGAAGATATTAATCTAAATATTGTATTAAATTTAATTTAGTTCATCCCAAATAGATTGGCTCAAGTAATAGAAAAACAGGGATGCATGACTAAATATTAAATTTTTTTTAATGTTTGTTTTTTTCATTATTAAAAGGCTTAGTTCTAAGTTAAAAGATAATAATTTTTGTAATATTATTTAATTAACCTACGACGTCAATTCTCTTTATAACCTATAATAATTATTTTAATGACTTATGTCAGTGATAAGCCGGTTTTAAGCAATAATATTATTTTGACAGTTTCCTCTCATTCTAATTCTTGTACGCTTTTTTATTGAATACAACTGTACATGTTATGACACATGTCAAGGTTTTTAGAATTTGAAAACTAAAATTAGTTTAACACACCTTCTGATCAAACCTTTAAATCCCAATAAAAAAATTTTTACTTTGGAAAGTACCAAAACCAAAAGTAAAAGCGAGAGTGCTGTTTTGGTAAGCGAATGGTGAATTTTCAAATTTTGTTTTATACGTCCCAATATTAGTAGTTAAATATTTGTTTTGTTTCCACATTTTTTTTTGTATTTCTCTGTCTATATTGTACTAGTATTTTGACAAAACAATATAAGCTTGGCCTTTGAATACTTTTCCTTCTTTTAATTATGGTTTCCAAATTTGTGCAAATTTAGATGACAAGGTATACCTAACAGAATTTTGGCAGTGGATAGGAGAGAGCTGGATAAAATTTTCGAAAACACAGTGGACGAGGACGTTAATGGGGGGTAGGCTAGATTTGAAAAAAGGTGTAAAATTTGAAATGACGTGTGCAAAATTGGAGGATCAAGATAGCATAACAACAAAGTGGATTTTGTCAGTGGGGGGGCTAGTAATTAATTTTTTGGATGGAGCGGTGTGCAAAATTTGAAATGGGGTGTGCAAAATTGTGCAAAATTAGGAGATTATGATGACGAAAAGTAGAGTTTGTCGAAGTAAAAGGGGAGGCAAGCGTCAAGTTTGCCCCCCCACATGATTTTTCTTGCCATTTCCAAAGCAGGAGTGTGCAAAATTTAAGAAGGGGTGTGCAAAATTGTTCAAAATGTTGGCAAAATTATGATGTATAATAAAAGGGGTTTGCACGATTGGGGGGGGCAACTTGACTGTCCCCTTTAAAAATATGGATTGACTTACAATCGTATGCTGAACAAATTCTCGAACACCGATAACGATGGAAACTTTTTACTCTTTTTGTTATCCACGAGACCTACTTCTCGACCAAATTTGTCCGTTTTTTATAAATTGTCCTCGTGCGACAAAATGACGTCTTATGACATTAGTTATTTAATATAATATTTAAATCATTTTAAATTCGTTTAATTAAATATATTTAAATATTGTTTCACAAATAAAGTCGATTTAAATTTAATCCGTCAAAAAATGTTTACTTTGATTCGTTTTATAAAAACGTTAATTAGTCCCAAACCTGCTAGGAATTATAAATTGGAAAATATGATTAAATTGTTTAAGTCTCTATGAGCAGCTAACCCCCCTGACCTTACTTAACTAGTTAGTACTTAACCGGATTATAAATTTTTTTAGTGAACCCTACCATGGAATTTTTGTACCCTTCAAAAAAGTAATCATGGGCTGGAGACCATAGTTTCACCATTATAAAAAATTCATCTACTTACTTCAAATATATTAAACGTGCCACTAAAATAGGTACAAGACATACTAACTCCAAATATATTCCTAATAGTGTCCTATCTATAGGTGTCAAACCTATAGGTGGTATGTCTCAAGGAGCATCATTGAGACTGTCATGTTTTACACACTAAAAGACCTGTTATTTCATGTAAGTGCCTATTTGTCTTCATTCTGTTACTTTAAATGGTATGTTTTGTACCTATAGAAAATACAACAAAATATTATATTTTTGTTACACTAATTTTCTGGTTATGGTTAATATGTACTAAGAGTACTATCAAAGAAGCTTGACAATTAGTGTTAAGTTGTATAAAAAAGTTTATTGTGTCTAATACTTTAGAAGTAATGTATAAATGTTGAAACCATTGAAAATAAAGGCTTCCAAAAAAATTAGACAAAAGACAAAATAAACTTTTTGCTAATAATAGGGTAATGTATAGCATTTAAATCTTTTTGGAAATTGTAAAAGATGGTACTGAATATTTTTTTGTTAAGTTTCCGTCCATACATTGATTTGCAACTTCTTTGCAGCTTATTATACAACACTGTAACTCGTTTAAATGCCTATTTATTGTAGATTCAGTAATATCTTGTCAATCTGTTACTTAAAAATATAATGATGTTAAACGTTTCTGTCGACCTTTCAGAAACTACTTTATTATTATGATGTGTTAATTGATTAAATTAATTAGGTTATTATAGAATTCTGTGATGATATGACCAATGTTTTGTTATTAGTGAAAAAGGCCTAGGGAATTAATTATTAGGTAATAAATTGTGTGGTTAAGATCTCTGAGAAAGGCGCCTATTTTTGTGCACAACTTACCTATATTTTAATATAATGTGAACTTCTAGTCGATGTACAAAAATATTTTATTGAATTATTTAAAAATGTAGATAAAAATACTGAAACATACGCAGATATTAATTAGCTGGCTTTTAATGTAGGTTTTTTCAGTATTTTGTTATATTATTCTAAATAAACCGAGGGGTAAACCACTCTAAAATCAGCCAGACAACGTTCAGCGTAATATAGACGTTGTGCTTTGAACATTTTATTATTCGCTTATTTAAACGTCCGATCCTTATCGACAAGGAAAAATCCGTCTCAATAAGAAATTTTTCTTAGCGACCCTTGTGATTTTTTTCGTGTGCGATTTTTAATTTTAACAAATCAGTGGTTTACCCCTTAAAATAAACTCTTAAAATATTTAGCATGCAGTATTATGTGTAAAGACTAAATGAACAATATTTGTTATTTTTTTTTGGAGGACTGATGTTATTTATACAGGGCATACCATTAAAAATAAATAAATAAACCACATATCTGTCAAAAATGTCTATTATTTTAATTTGAAAAATCATTGTGCAAAACGGTCTTACGATTATGAAATTTCACTTGTCATGAGAAATGAGAAAACAATTAAAGCTTGTTTTACACATTTTTTTAATGATGCTCTAAAACCTTTATAGGTACCATCTTTATAGGCGGATTTTTCCAACTCTATATACGCTATATCTCTTGCAAGCTATAAACAAACTGAAGTAAGGCAGTTGATAACCCAATCGCTCTTTATGCTAAGGCGTGAGAACATGTAAAACTCACCTTGTGGATAACTTTCTCATGTGTATAAGGATTCGATTAGGATATGATGTGATATAGAGAGATTGGCCAAAGTTTCATCAATTTTGATCAACTTCAACTTTGGATTTTTAAATATAACCTTTTTTGTTTAATTTAAAAAAAAAATTCTCTTCACTACTTAGAACCACGAGAGAAATCAAAACTAATGTATCATCATGAAATGTCAAACTTGTAATTTTTAAGTAATAATTCCTTTACTTTTTCATTTCATTTTTTTGATAATTTTATCAATTTTGATTTAAAAAATTGATGAGTTGTCATTTATACAGGGGGTCATGTACAGAGCCGCATTAATGAAATAGGTTATTAATCTATGGAAATATATATTTCCATAGATTAATATGGCGCCCGTGGCAAAAACAAAAATCTTGAATAGAAAATACAGGTTACAACGTTAATTTTTAAAAGGTTTTTTTCTCAATTAAGTTTTTAATTAAAAGTGTATAAATATAAAATCTATTACAAAACATGTTAAAATTAAAATGGAGAAATGTGTAACATACAAGAAAATAAATATTATACTATAGTGGACAATAGTAATGCAATAAAATTTGTGTACACTCATAAATAACAAATAAAATCAGATATAATAAAATAATAAAAATATGATATTATTAATATTATTATATTAATATTATGTATCAATAGTAATAAAAATAAGACACAAATAGGTAGTAAATTGGTAGATAGCATTACAATATTTAGAAAAATGCATCCATAACAACCGATGCGTCATGAGAGGGCGTATTTTTTTTTTTCAGTTTTATGTGAATTCTAAAAATAAAATCTTGTATGCACCACAAAATGATTACGACTCTCAAGCGACATTAGTTTTCGAAAAAAAAGCAATTTTTCAGTGGAGCCTTAAACGTATTCGCATTAATTCAGGAAATTCTATTTAACGGGTACAAGATTTTTCCAGCAAAAGTCATATGCTACTAGCATAATGCTAGCAAAAGCGTTACTGTTGTTCAGTGACTTAATATTTCACTTGTCAGAAGGAAGATGAGACTCCATCGGCAACGCCTTACACTAATCTCCCAGGGTTATTTTACCGCCTTTCAATTCTCCTACGTATCGTTATTTTCGGTTGTTATGGATGCATTTATGTTTATAGTTATTTACGTGTCAAGCTTTGTAAATGAATCTTTACGGGCGAGCTGGAAGTTTGTGGGTAAGCGACGCAGGAGCGAACCCATAATCCAGTGAGACTAGTAAAGATAATTGCAAAGCGTGACACGTACAAACTTTTATTTTCACCTTTAGATAACGATTTTTAAATTTAAATATTTCAATTAATGTGTCAAATGTGTCATTTCATTTCATAAATTGCTTTTTCTACAAGCCTGTAAAACTTTACAGGTCTTTTATACAAGCCCGTAAAATATTACATGTCTGTTCTCATAATGTATCGTTTACTTGGATACAAAAACAACAAAATTAACCTATAAAGTGTCATTTACTAAGAAGGTGGAAATAAAAACTTATAAAGGTGTTTATGGCGTTCCAACACATTTTTTATTGTTGTCCAATGAATCAAATTTACTTTTATTATAATTGTTTTTAGCTGTCATTATTTGGGTCATTTGTTAACTTCTTGAAATCACGCCTTTCATTAAGTTTATATATTTTATTATTATACCAAGTTTTACTGTTAGATCTAAACTTATTTTTCAATACTAAAAACTTTATGTTTTTTGTTAAACATTCAGCCATGTTGTTATAATTTTCAAGATTCAGCTTATGTTTTATCATATCAACATTGACTATTTTTTATTTTGGATCTTCTTTAAGTTTATATTTAATACTTGTACTCATGGTCACTCAATGAGCTCCCTATAATTGAAAGGTCCAGAGCATAGAGAAAGGAATGGTCCAGAGCACCATCATCAGGAGCAGAATTTTTAAGTAAGTGGTCAATCATAATAAAATTAAGATACAAATCTTTTTATAGTAAGAGGAATTCCTTAACTTAAGTGTTTAATAAAATATCCAGGTTAAAATCTCCCAAAACATATTGCTTTGACCTTTTGTCAATAAATTGCATGGTGTGATCTTTAAGTTTTTGATCGGTATATTTTCTATATCCATCTCATAATTTATTTTCAAAAAAGACAGATTAACATTTATTGCCTTTAGAATTTTATATTTATGATTGTTGCTGTTGAATATGGCCACTCCACCTCCACGTTTCTTTCTTGTTACATATTCGGTTTTATACACAGGTAAATTGTAATTTTTTCCTCTTCCTTTACGCGTGACTCGGACACAACAATGACATCACACTATCCTGAATTATATCTACTTACATATTCCAACCATAACTAACCCTCCTCGAAAAGGGTGTATTTCTTAAACACCAGCGCGATGGCGGGGAGTTCTTCGAGTTCTCCAAATTCGAATACGCCCAGAGTCATTATGAATAGCAATTCTACTTTCATCGCTAAATAAATTTGAGTTTCATTCAGGTCTCCAATTTACGTGAAGAGGAACCCATTTCAGTCTTTGCTGACAACTGTGGAAGGAGTTGTGGGATGTTTCTCGCATTAATTATTAAAAAACGATATTCTCTTGCGGTAGTAATTCTTCTTCTTCCCTGTCCCCGACGTCTGACTGTAGAAATAGTCTCATTAAAACGAGTTTGAAGTCGACTTTGCAACACTTCAAAATGAGAAGCTCCATGATCCCCCACTTGATTCTGCATTTCCACACTGATTTTGATCTTTTTATTATTTTCTATGACAGCAATGTCTTTTATTTTTTTAGAAGAGCTTTATTTCTGACCCTAGAAGAGCTTTATTTCTGACAGTTTATAAGAAAAACTGGCGCTAGGGCCTAATGCAAATTAAATACAAATCACTCGATGAGACTATGACATGTTAACATAATTTTATAAAACATTGTAAAATAAAAAATGTTATTCAAAACGTTTATCTCTAACCACTTGTTTGAGTTCTTTACACATTCCCTTGTAGTTCTTAATGTTTTTTATGTTTTCTGGTATTTGGTTGTAGTTACTAAGTTATATACTTATATTACTATGTTGTTTCATTAAAACCAACCAAAAACCATTTTTGCGATTTTCTGTCCCATTTGGATCTTTTCTTCTGAACCATGTCCAACACAGGGTTTTTTTACTTCATATGGTGTTTTGTCGCCTAATGATGCAGCAATGAATCTATACTATAGCTTCTCTTAGTTTATTTTTGTCTATAACTTGTGAAGTAGATAAGTGAAAAAATGCTCATGAGATGGCTGCCCTTGCCCTATCTGACACTTCATATCTATCTCAAGTTTTTAATAGTAAA